TAATTGGTTGCTACAAAATTAATTACTCGTAAAAGATGTAATTGGTGGTTGTAATAGCAATAGTTGTTCATGTAGGTCCTAGTTCAAAATTATAACAATAGTAATTGATAATAATGGTCATTATTAGTTGCTACAAAGGCAATAGCTGGTTACAAAGACTGTAATCGATGGCTAAATAGTGATAGTTAGTCATAAAAGTTGTAGTTGAAAACTATAATTGAAGTAGCTGTCCGCAAATGATGTAATTGGTTGCTACAATGAATGTGGTTTGCATAAAGGTTGTAGGTGGCCGCAATAGTAGTAGTTAGTCGTAGAGGTCATGGTTTGAAACTGTAATAGTAGTAGTTGATTATAAAAATCATAATTGGCTGCTACAAAGGAAGTTGTTGATCATGAAGATTATAGTTGGCGACTGCAATAGCCACAATTGTTCAAAGAGGTCCTAATTGAAAATCGTAACAGTAAAAGTAGATCACAAAACTCATAATTGGTTGCTACAAGGACAATGGTTGGTCATAATGGCTATAGTCAGTAGCTGTAATAGCAATAGTAAGGCATAGAGGCCAGAGTTAAAAATTGTAATAATACTAGTTGGTCACAAAAATTGTAATTCATTGCTACAAAGTTAGTAGTTAGACATAAAGGTTGTAGTTGGTGGCTACAATAGTAATAGCGGGCAACATAAGCTATAGTTGAAAAATATAACAATAATAGTTAGCTACAAAAATCATAGTTTGGCTACAATAGTTGCAAGTAACAGTCGTTGATGACAAATGATTGGCGTTGGTAGGTGGTGACAATCAGTTACAGTCAATGGTGGCTGATGGGCAATAGCCGATGGGGGTTAGTGGCTATAAAGATTGATGGTTTCTTCTCAGGTCTTCTCTGCAACATGCTCTGAAATTTTCTTTCTCATTCTCTTCTTCTTTTTTTCCTTCTTTCTAGTGAAGAGAGGGGTCTTATTTATAGTTGTTTGGGGAGGGCAATGTGGTTTTTTGGTGTGTAACTTTTCTAACCGGCTGATCAGTTGTTCCATGTTGATCCTCCTTAATCATACGTATTTATTTAAATATTTGGTTACCTTAATGATCTTGACATTGAACAATCTTAGAATTGTCGAATTCCTCTCATCGAGATGCTCAATTAAACTATAATTATGTCAAATTTATAGTTTGTTTGATCATTCAATAGACAATCTAAAACTTTCAGTTGTGCTTCAACGACATGATCTACGTTTGACTGGACTCGAATTGAATCAACTTTAACATCATTGTGTTCTTCTTACTAACTTGACTGAACTCGGCTTGATCTAAGCTTCCAATAAGTTTGAGTATAAACTTGCAAAAATGAGGGTCCGAATGATCTTGAATTTGAACTTGGAAGATCCCTAATAAAAATGCATCAAAATTCCCGTTTGATAAAAATTTGTTGTTGATACATCGCACCTAAATTTATCTTTTTACATTTATACCACCCGAATTTTTCATATCACATCAAAAATATCACTACTTTAATTTTAAAAATTGATATAGACATTCTTATACTTATAAGGTGACATTTATATTAAAAGTGAAGTTTAGATGCTAGATATATATATATATATATATATAATATATAT